GACCGTAATCACATTTCCATCATCAACCATTTTTAAAACTCAAGCTTGCAGCTTGACTTGAGTAGGGAGCTTCAGCCATCCTCAAGGCAAAGTAAGACTTGCAACACATTCAGGGAGGTCCGGGAAAGCTAACCTGATCATCTTCACTCTTCAAAACTTGCTCAAAATCCATATTCAAATCCAGCTGCAAGAGGTAAGTTTTAAAACTTCAATATCTTGATATAAGCATCCTTTATGCATACACTCTAAAGTAAAAATGTAGATATTATTGCCCTCAAGCTGACCATGTCCCTAGTTTGCATTTTACTTGCTTGTGCTTGGATAATTTTGCTTCTGACGAGTTAGGGCACGTATTTGGTATCAAACAAAATTAAGTTTAACCTTTTATTTTTATCTTAATTAAATTATATGGTTAAATTGATGATGAAATTTGCAGCAAGTTTCATGTTTGTACTTTTCAAAATGGTCAAGAAATGAGAAAGTTACATGGTTAACAATGGTGGATATGGTGTTCTGCGTGCGCATGAAGGAGGAAGAAGATGATTTCAAATATTCAATACTTATTTTATTTTATATTTAATTAAAGTTGTTTCATGACCGGATGTACAAGCCACCCCAGTGGCAAGTGCGCGCGTATTAAGTCTTTGCTGGCCATAAGGGCGAGGGTTCGAACCAATGTGAACCCCCCTTTTGCATTTTGTGATTTTAGGAAGCAGTTTTCTCATATATGGTCATGCAAACACATGGTTGACAAGTAAATGCGCATGGCCTAGTGGTAATCTTTTGAGCTAATGATCTTGATGTCCTGAGTTCAAACCTTGACAGGACCAAAACCCTTTTTTACCACTTGTTTGTTTCATTAATTTCATTTTTTTTTAACAAACTTTAACATCTTATCTAACCAATCAAAACAACTCCTTTTGAGTTGATTTTTTGCACACTATTTATTTATAATACCTATTTTGTGAATATAAAAAAATATCATAAAAATATTTTTGTTTTCATCATTTTTTAATTAAAGCAAAAACCTTTCCATAAAAAACACTAAAAAATGCTTTCAAACTTAATTTCTTTTCTTAATTAGTTTAAGTTTAATTTTATTTATCTTAACTAATTATTTTCTTTTAGATAATTAGGTTAGAACCCTTTCATAAAAATCCAAACAAAAATCATTTCTTTTCCCATTTTTGCATTTTTGCATTTTATCTTTAATTTTGTACAATATTCAATATGGTTGTAATAATTAATTAGATTTAATTTTCTTACAAAATCCCTATTTGTAAATTTGTATACCCCCTCCCCTAATGATGTAATATCTTAGTATTTTTATTTTCCGCAATTTAACGCTTTATATATAAATGCTAGTAAATTAGGGTTTGTATGGAAAGATTAAAAATCAACAAGTTAGGAAACCCTAATTCAAGACAAAACAATGCATGTAAATTAACACACTTGCACACTTACACCCTTATGGTAATTCCACTTTGTTTCCTTACAAAAATTGCTATGTTATGCATGTGGGATATCTTAGCAAAAAGAAATCGAAAGTACAAGATCATAGTCCCTCAATGACGCTATCAAATGTTGCCTTTCAAATGATCTTAGTCCCTCAAAGAGAATTGCTAAGATATTTCACAACATTGCTATCATGGCTATACGATGACCCACGCCCGTCCCTTTACATCCAAAGATAAGGCTTCTTACCAAATCAATGGTAAGATATCAATATCAAAGGAAAGTAAGAAATGAACTAAGACTTTTGAGTAGGTAGATTGTTCCTAGTTGCTTGCTCAAATTCAAATCAAACACTCTTGCTTATTTTCAAAACAAACACCAACACTTTCAAAAAACACTTTCAAAAACACTTTCAAAACATCTTCCAAATTTGAAACATTTTCAAAAGCTCAACACTTTGTATACTTTCTTACGAACGAGAACTATTACAAAGTTTGCCTAAACGATGGCGCCTTTTCAAGATACTTTCAAAAAACACACAAAGCATATTTTCAAACAAAAGCAAGTGATCTAGCAAGAAACTAAGAGCCCATAGATAATTATAAATAAAAAGGGTGCTAACACATTCCCTTTTCATAATCTACCCCCCGAACTCAAGAAACAATCTCAAAGGTGTTTCCTGTTCTTTCCAGCCTTTTCTTTTGGATAAAAGAAAATTCGGTGGCGACTCTTGCTAACCGCAACATTTACGATCAAATGCAAAACAACCAAGTCAGTTCTCCCACCGTGCCACACTATGGATGGTGTAAATTTGATGATGGTTTGAAAGATATTATAAATAAAGTTATGTTGGGATTATGATTTCCACTGCGTAAGTGTTTTGAAGAACGTGTGTTGATTTTCCGAAAAGGATAAATAAGATAATTGTTGAAAGCCCGTGTTACGGAGCAAGATGTTTTTGTTGAAGAAGTGTTATGAAGCATGTGACACCCTCGTTGGTGCTTTACTCTGATTTATTTATTAAATTATTCATTGGGTTTAGAAGGGTGTTACACACTTGATATTCATTTGTAATCAAATGTTAACATGTATTTCTTGGTAATTTCTCGTGAAAACGTCTACAATTGCATCTTAGGGAATGTTTCCTTGCACCACTAGATTTGATGGCTTCTACTGTCCATTTGGAGATGAAATATCACCGAATTAGGGGAACAAATCATCATTTCGGTTGAGCTATACGAAACTTGTCTGTTCATGAAATGATACTAAAGAACCCTCACACAAACACCCTCATCTCCGAAAGAAGGAGGAAGACTCCTACATCACCCATCACGACAACCTCAATGTACTAGAAGACGAAATCCTACTAGGCGATGAACTTAGCTCACCACCGGGGACCAAGGAAAAAGACTTGAGACCAGTTCTACACAGTAACTTTGTAGTAGCAAAACTCTGAAAATACAACAAGATTAGTCTATATAAGGTTGATTTTTCAACCCTTGTAAGGAATAAGCTCATTAAATGCCTCAGAGCCAAATTCGATTTTTTCACATTTCCTCCTGACGAGATGCCTAACATAGAGCTTGACATAGCCTTCATCAATTGAATATCAACCTCTTTGCCCGCTATGTGGCCCAACAAAGGAGAATACAATCCCCAAAAGCAACCATGAGTACAATCCAAGGCCTACTTGACGCCAACTTTATTTCTGAAGTAAGGTACACCAAATGGTTATCCAATGTTGTAATAGTTAAGAATTCAAGTTGAGTATACCATCCTCAACCGAGCATGCCCGAAAGAATCTTATGCACTTCCAAACATTGATAAATTAATAGACAATTCAAATGGGTACAATTTGTTGTAATTCATGGACGCATATTTTTGGTACAACCAAATACCCATGTACGAAGCGGACAAAGACAAAAATGCCTTTGTGATAGAGCGAATCGATGATTGATACAACATCATGCCCTTTGGCTTGGAGAATGCAGGAGCAACATAACAAAGGATGGTATGGAAAATCTTCAAGGAAGAAATAGAGGAAACACTGGAGGTTTACATAGATGAAGTGATCGTCAAGTTTGGCGAAGAAGAGTGACACGACGAATACCTGGCTTCTGTGTCCCAACATGTTTGGTAATACAATACGAGGCTCAATCCAGATAAATGCACCTTCGAAGTTAGAGAAAATGAATTCTTGGGCTTATACTTGATGGAGAGTGGCATAGAAGCGAACACAGACAAATGTAAAATGGTCAACAAGATGGAAGCATCAACGACAAAGAAAGAGGCCATGAAGTTAAACGAGATGCTCACGACCTTAAACATGTTCATTTCAAGTTCGACTCGACATTTGTTATTGTTTTACAAGTTATTGAATAAAGAAACATAGTTTGAATGGACCCCAAAATCTGAACAAGCTTTGTATCACTAAAAACAACCTTATTTACCCCGTCGATTTTTGTCCAGTCCAGTTTATATGGAGGTTTTGTTTCTCTACTTATGTGTCTCAACTGAAACACTCAGTGTTATTCTCATCCGAGAAATAAACTATAACCAGAACCTGATGTACTTTATATCTAAGGCATTGTCCAGACTAGAGACACACAACCAGAAGATAGAAAATACATCGTTGGAATTAATGACCGCCTCCAAGAAGCCGGGAAGATACTTTCTAGCACATACCATCGTTGTCGGACCAGACTTACCTCTTAAACAAGTCAATTACAAACCATATCTAGTCGGACGACTGACCAAATGATCTATTGAAATGTCTGGATTCAACGTCTCCTATGAGCCCAAGAGAGCGTTGAAAGCCCAATCACTCGTAGAACTCATAGCAGAAATGAACCCAGTAGTATTAGAACTAACTAATAGAGGAATTAGTGTCCGCTTCATATTGAAAAACAAAGTCAGTTTAGAGGTTGAGGTATCCATGCGCTTCATGTTGAATCGTCCCAGCCTTTCCCATATCCACATGGACATTATTGACCCATTTCTTCTTAGCCTAAGTCAGTTGAAGTTCCTTATCGTAATGATTAATTACCTTACAAAATGGATATAAGCGGAGGTCTTATAAAAAATTATTGTAGTCAATATACTAAAGTTCATTAAGAGAAGTATTTTTGACGAGGTATGAGATTTTTCAATTGGCCATTACCGAAAATGAAACACAATTTACAAATAAGAATCAACAAAAAAAGATAGTTTAAAGATCTGAAAGTTAGACATCATTTCACGTCAAAAACACCCTCAAACGAATAAACAAGAAGATGTCGTGAATCAACTTCTGTTAAGAGGACTAAAGAGGAGACCAGATCAAACCCGATTCATTGTATTTAAATCGAAATGAGTTACAACTAGATCGGGTCTTGGACAACCGTTCTTGTTCTTGTTGTTATTTGATTTTATTTACAACAAGAATACATTTTTCTTTTTAAAAAATGAGATTACATACCTTGGTACACCCAAAATCTAAATCCAGTCTAGCTATTAAATAGGGCATTCTCATTCCCGCGCGATACTAGAAACAAGTTGAATAGAAAATGGCAAAACCAAAGACGAAGAAGAAAGCAAGAGAAGACGAAGACCCAGATTCAACAAACCCAGTAACCATTGAACGCAAGAGACTCAAATCCTTAGCTTTTTCAAACAACATACTCTCTGAAACCCAATCTAGATCTTCCATTCACCTAAACCCTTCTTCCCTTCTCGCCAAACATCACGGCAAAGACATCATCAAGAAATCTCAGAGGAAGAGCAGTAGATACCTTTTCTCGTTTCCGGGTCTCTTTGCTCCTATTGCTGGGGGGAAAATTGGTGATCTCAAAGATTTAGGAACCAAAAACCCCATTCTCTACCTTGATTTCCCTCAGGTTCTTGTTTACTTTTATGTATTAAAATTTTGATTCTTTTTAGGGTTTTTGGTTTGTGGCTTTGTTTGCTTTTTGGGTTTCAACTCATGATGAGGAAATTGAATTAATTTGCTTTAGTTTTTTTTTTTGTGTGTGTGAATGATTTGGTTGTTTTGAGCTATTAGCACATACAGACATTGATAATAATTTGAGTAAACAGAAGTGATTGAATGTAACGATTTGTGCCGATGTTACTCGGTCATACAATTTGAAGTGTTGGTGCTGCATTACATTGGACACAACACATATAGCGACATGTATATGGCGATAATAGTATGAAGTATTGGTATGACACTGGAATCACCTATAGTTTGAAGTATAAGTACTACATAAGTTTTTAAAAAATTGATACCAGACACGACAGAAAAACTAGCATCTAGACAATGATAGTAATTTGAGGAATTAGAAGTGATTGAATGTGATCACTTGCGTCTTTGTTGTGTTGGTAAGACAACTGACACACCTTCAATTTGAAGTGTTGGTGCTATGTAGGTAGGTTTTAAGTGTAACTCTACTTCCACAGACATTTGACACTGTTAAGAGTCCCACATCGGACAATATATGGCCTGAACATGAATTTATAAGTGAGAGTAATCCTCACCTTACAAGCCGGTTTTGTAGGATTGAATTAGGCCTAACCACATCTTAATATGGTATCAGAGCCTCATCTAAGATCCCTTGGGCCACCCACCATTTAGTTCCACGCTCCAGCCCTAATTCCTGGGCGTGAGAGGGGGTGTTAAGAGTCCCACATCGGACAATATATGGCCTGAACATGAATTTATAAGTGAGAGTAATCCTCACCTTACAAGCCGGTTTTGTAGGGTTGAGTTAGGCCCAATCAAACATTCTAAGAGACACAATAAGAGACATTGAGATGTTGATACTAATAATAATTTGAGAGAAATGAAGTGATTGAATGTAACCATCCATGTTGTTGGTGTGTTTGTCGGACACTGGCCATGCTTTCAATCTGATAGGCTGCGCTACTTAGGTTTTAAATGTAACTCTGTTGCAGTTCAGTCGTTTACTTTTATTTACATGCATAGCAGAAACCAAGTAGCTTATGAAGTTGTAGTAATGGAATTGACAATTGTTTTTTGTTCCCATCAGTTAGTATGTCTGTGTCAATTGGCGTTGTGAAGAGATTTCCAGACATAATAGGAAACCAAGGTTACCAGTCAAATACAGACTTAATTTATAAGTTTCTAAGTTATTATGAAAAGGTTTGCATGGTAAAGTTTATCCGAACTAACTCATATTCTGATAGAGGGAAAAAAAGTAAATAGAGTTCAAGAGTGAGAAATTTAGAGAAAAGTTAGAGAGGAGAGTGCGGACTATCGTTGTAACTTACCTCCAATATTCACCTTTTATATCTCCTTCACTTAGGGTAACAACTTTGATCGCAAAGTTTCCACACAAATCTGGTTATTTGCCTTCCATGTTGGTTGTCAACTGATCCGACAGGTTCACCTGCAGTTGCATGCATACTTGGTTGTAGTTAACAAAACTGGTTTGGTGCTTGACTCAACTATGTGACAACTTTTAGGATGTTCGATTCTGTTTGCGTGTTTTGGTAACTGATGAAGTGCGTTTTCACTCTCACTTTACAGGGCCGAATGAAGTTATTTGGGACTATCTTGTATCCAAAGAACAAATACTTGACTCTACAGTTCTCCAGAGGTGGAAAGAGCGTGATGTGTGAGGATTCTTTTGATAACATGGTAGGTGTTTTTTACAATTCATGTTTTCTTAAAATAAAATTTGAGTTCGAGACAAGAACTAGAGGAAGGTAGAGTAGTATTCAAATTATTACGGTTTTCAGGGAAACAACTTCCTTGTGTGCATATCGATTATCCTTGTAATATCTCGTAGAGTGAATGGTTTCACTACAGATTTCTTTCTCCTCCACTATATATTCATGTCTTGATCTAACAGTGTCTGTGTTCTTCCCATTACTCGTTCAATTGCGACTTCTTGCTTCTTCATTGCATATTTGTATCGTATGGCATTGAGCTATGTGAGTAAGAACACCTGTGTTCCGTATTTATGAGCAATATCTTGATTTTACTAGATTGTATTTTCCGATGCATGGTGGATTGGGACAAAAGACGAGAACCCAGAAGAAGCTAAACTGGAAATTCCTAAGGAATTGTACGAGGTTAGGAACTTTTGAAAGATTATAATTACCTGTTCACAAGAAGGAAATTTTGTTTAACGCTAATACGGCATTAAGATAAAATTAAGTATTTTTCTTCGGTTTTAGGGACAACAAGCTGAACATGACTTTAAAGGGGGTGCAGGAGCAGGTGCAGCTTCTGTAGTTAATCAAAGTGTTCTTAAAACTAAGATAAAACGTGCAGAGCTAGAGTCACCAGAGACACCTCTTGACGAAGATTCATCAGACAGTGAACTTGACTTAACAGTCACAAAGGAATTGGCTCCAGTTCGCCAATCAGCAAGAACTGTAAAAAAATCATACAAGTATATGCTTCTTCTATAGTTTACTTGATGTCTTTTTCTCTCTAAAATTGTATTGAAGTCATATTAATATAGTTCTTTTGTTGGGTCAGATTTGCTGAAATTTCTTCTGGTGATGATTCTGCAAAAAGCAGCCCTGCCATTTCTGAACACGAAGAAGAAGCGGTAGAAGTTGATATCAATGTAAATGATCATAATAGCTCAAATATCCTTATACACATTTAGTATTCCGGCAATACAGTTTAGAAGTTGATTGGATAGTAGTTACTGTATTATTTTTGTTTTGGTTCTATATTTTTTTATTGTAGCCAATCATCCCGAAGCTTAGAACTTCATTTGATCTTATATTCTATATTATCAGGAAATTTATAATTTTTTCCCCTTAATTCATGAGTACAGAAAGAAACTGCAGTTATTGACATCGACAATGAGGATAGTGCTCCAAAAGATATACTCCCCATGGTGGAAAATAAAGAACCTGCTTCAGCGTCAAAATCTAAAAAAGGTTCACTTGTTCAGGCTACTATATCCTCATTATTCAAGAAAGTGGAAGTAAAGGTATGCTTTTGAAACTGTTTGCGCAAGAGCCACGACATGCCAACTTCAAATAAATATTTTTACTGCCCTTACATTTTCTGAATGTATATTTTGTGGTCATGCACGCAATATAAACAGATATAGTATTCGTAAGTCTTCTAAGCAGGTAGACAAAATTGACTGATATTTATCTACAATGCTAGATTGTGATGATGTTCACACTTTCAGTGAGTGAAATTGTAAAAATTTTAGGCATCATTTAGTGCGCTCATGTGTTTTATTTTTTCAGAAGACCCCAACCAGTTCAAAGAAATCTCCATCATCAAAAGGTCGTTCTTTTCCTAGTCTCTTTACATTATTATTATGGGAATGATTATGAAAATTGAATATAATTTATTTTTCTTGATTTTTTCAGCTTCCGGCCAGAAGTTGCAACCTGCTGGTTCGAAAAGGAAGCTAGACCTGGTTGATTTTCTTTTAACTTGATTTCCTGAGTTTCCTTTTCTTCATATGGGATTTACAATATTCCTTAATTAAGTGTTTCGTGTCGGAGTAAGACACAAGCTGAGGTCTATTGCCTATTGTTGTAGGATGAAGGATCTAAGAAAAAGCCAAGAAAGATCAAGGACAAAAATTCTGGTGAATATTCTTCCTTCTTTCTCTCATTAAGTTGTTGCCCAGATGAAACTTTATCAAACTTACCTTGTTTGTAAATTTTAGGTGAAAAAGTCAAGGCAAAAAAAAGCAAGGAAAGTGAGGTAGGATTTTCCCATTCTCGGAATTTAATGAGCTATGTCGATTTTATCTGTGGAATTAGTGATTGAATCTTATTTCAATGTGTTCTTATGTTTCATGCTTAATCAAAATGCTACTACTGAATCCAACGACCGATAAGAAAACCTATGACCTTTTTGATCATTTGGTTTCTCTCACTATTTCATGAAATCAACTTTACTTTCCATTTCTATTACTAAATGCTTTTCATCTTGTTCTTGTAAATATCTTAGAAAATAAGAAACTTTGCATAGTTTGACATTTACATAATCATTGTTAGGTTGAAGATGACGATGAAGATGATGATGACATTGAAGAATTTTCAAATGCTTCAGAGGTAATTCTTCCCAAGTTAACACACGCCTGAACTCACGTGCATTTAACTGTACAGATATGAAGCCGGTTTTTAACTGTTGGTTGTTTATAGCTGGCACGGGTATGAACCGTTTGATGTTACTCACCGTGTTTAGAACCATTCTATTTTTAGGATTCTGATGAAAGCGACGAAGAATGGATTGCATGAGAATGTGATGCGAGTTGTGGCTACTAAGCATGGATACGACAAGGGGCGGTGTCGCACTTGGATAAAACTAATGAAATAGTTTCCTTGTTTTATGACATAGGCAGAAACAAAATGCTCTAAAATATGATGTCGGATAACTAAAAAGTGTTATGATGAGATTGATACATGTTTCTTTTAGCTTCTATAGTGTTTCAACATCTATGTCGTCCTATCTGACTCGAGGTAGAGTTTAGTCTCTACAGTTGTGTACGGGGAAAATGCACGGTTTATATAAAAATATTGAGGATTTTATATTGTATCTTGTTTAAATTTCGAGGGCATTCCGGATATTTGTTAGTTTCATATTTGGTTGCCATACAAGAATGCAGTTTTGCTTAGTTTTTTTTTGGTGAGAATTTCTCTTTACATTTAGTAGTGGTGATTTTTATCATTGAAAATTCAAAAATACTTTCGGATATGCACTTCCGAATACACTTTGTGAATTTGAAATATTGAATTATTTCAGATATGCATATCCGAAAGAATTAAAAACCCAATATTCCAAATTTCTTTTGATTTTATTTTGAAAATATATTTATTTATAATTAGTTATAATATAATTAAGTTGAATTATTATTAATAAAGAATAACTTAAATTTATAATTGAAAATTAAATATTAAAGTAAGTTTATGATATGAAATTAAAAAATGAATGCAATAATTAAATTTCTAATTATAATGGGGAAATGTAACGATTGATATATTTTATAACAAAATAAAATGTAATTAAATAATCTCAGTGTTTTAGACATTGCGTTCCTGCGTCTCTTACATTTACACGATCTAACGTAAAAAACTCAATTTTTTGAAAAATTGATTATGAATTAAAATTTTACTGTGGCAATTCATCCGAAAAAAACCAAGGATTAAAATCCCCTACTTGGGGACAAAATAAGGGACTCCACCCTAAAAACTCTAAATTCCTTGTTTTTCTATTTTAGAGAATTTCTTTCTCCACTTAGTAGCGATGATTTTCACAACTGAAAACCCAAAACACCCTTCGGAAATGCACTTCCGAACTCACCTATCAGTATGTTTCGGATGTGAATATCTGAAGACATCATATTTCCACGTTTTAATACTAAAACGTTTGATTTGAAATCCTTAGGTTGTTTCGGATATGCACATCCGAAACATGCTGATAGGTAGGTTCGGAAGTGCATTTTCGAAACCACCCTTAACATATTAGAATGCTGCATGGTCACCTATTCCAACTATTCCATCCATTTTATATTCTTCCATAACCAAAACCCTCGTAGACCTTCAATCATTTTCAATGGATTTTTCGTCTCCAAATCAAGTTTCAAGTGTTTGACTATATCAAAGAGAGCATAGAAAGCTGCAATTTGAGGTAAACTTCCATTATTTTATTATACATCTCCTGCATTGAAGCTAATTTGTGGAAGAAGAAAACAACGTCATTTCAGATATGCACTTTCAATTCAACCTACCATAATTCGGATGTGCATATCTGAAACAATGTTTGTTACAAAATCACAATTCTGTTTTAACATAATTCATGTTTTTTTTAACATGTTAATGTTATTTTTAACATGTTAGGTATGATGCACCCCGATAATATTGTCAAAGTTATCGTAAAGGTTCCAGACAAGGTCAATGAAGATGATAAACCGATTGCGATGAAGGACACCGATAAAATGATTGATGTTGTGATAAATTATGGACAACAATTTCAAAATGATAAAACTTTCACATCTCGTCAACATATGCTTGAATGGGTTCGAATGGAAGCTAGCAAACTTGAGTTTGGTGTTATGATTGAAAGGTATGACAATGGTACTAGTGAAAGGCAATCTTATGTTGTGATGACATGCGAGAGAAGTGAGAAATATGTTCGAAAAATTCGGAAGCTAAAACATGATGATGAAGGTATGAAAAAAACACAAGAAATGGGGAGATTTGAATTGGGTTTTTCACTCTTAACAAACTTTCGTCTCTTAACATTATTGCGTTAAGTGATGCTTTCAAAGATGTTTTGAAAGTATAAGTAGTAAAATATTAGCAAGATTAAAGAACATGTGATATATCCTAGTTCACTTGAGAAATCCTCAAGCTAGTCCAGTCCACCATACCGAGGTAATTTTGGCTTAAACTCAAGGACTTAATCCACTATAACCAAACTGATTACAATCTGCATAGACAACTATTGTGAGTAACAACCACTAAGACTACCATCTTAGTCTTCTCAATACTTCTGACCTAACCGGTCCTTTGAGGAACACATTACCTTCTAAAGCTTCTGACCTAACTGGTCCTTTAGAAGAAACAAAAAACCTTCTAAAGCTTCTGACCTACTGGTCCTTTAGAAGGAACAAACAACTACTTGTTTTTACAAGGTTTGTTTACAAGAGAATGCTTCTACACAAGCAAGTGTAAACTCAATTAAGTACATCAGAAGATTCTAATACACACTAGTAATATTACATTGTATTTTATTTCAAATGTGTGGTCTTCTTTTCTTCAAGTAGCTTCTTCACGGACAACAGCCCAAAGCACTTGAATCGCTGAAGTCTTCTTCTTCTTCATAAGCTTCTGAAAGCTTTGTTAATTTTGATGTAGTAAAGAGAAGAACTTCTTCATCTTGAATCACCTTAGAACATTCAGGAAGCAGCCCTTGTTCTATTTAATTCAATAATCACTTTATTATCTTCTGCAGCTTAGCAAGCTTCTTTCAGTATATAAAATTAAGCACATTGTGAATTGATGACTTCATTGTTATCTTATAATCATCAACAACATGATTCAAGAATCATTTTGACAACAATTGTTCTTGTTGTTGTTATAGTGGTTAATAGTTTTTGTTGTGTTTCAATAATGACAACTTTCATTTGAACATTGAACACCAACAACATTTTAAGCATATAATCCTTTTCTTATATAGACAAGCAAAATATAGTCATTGGCTATTGAAAAAGAGTCATTACACAATGATGAAAATATTACCGCCACGTATTTTTTCTCTCTCACAATTCAAGCTAGTGGAGAGATAGTGGGATAAGGCTTTTGCGTACTGTGTACTTGTCATTGCTAACAGTAACATTTGTCTTCTGAATTTCAGCGGCTTCTGATGGTAGATGATTGAAGCATGAGTAGAATCGTGACATTTGAATCTCCAGATAATCAAGTATTCAGTCGTCAGAACTTGTTCACTCAGAACCTTGTCTTCGAAACTTCAACACTTGATCTTGAGAACCTTTTCTAGAACCTTGGGTCTTTATAACTTCAAGTCTTCAGAGTCTTAATAACTTCGTCTTAAGAATCTTTAGCACTTGGTCTTGAGAACCTTTTCTAGAACCTTGGGTCTTTAGAACTTCAAGTCTTTAGAGTCTTCAGAACTTCTATCTTCAGATACTTCAGCATTTGGTCTTTAGAACCTTTTTTCTTAGAACCACGGGTCTTTTAGAATCTGTACTTTAGTAGAACTTCAGTCTTCAGATCTTCTGACTGTTTCTTTAGAACCCGTTGTCTTCAGAAACATGAGTCTTTAGCATTTGAACTTAAGTAGAACTTCTGTCTTCAGATCTTCTGACTTGTTTCTTTAGAAAAACATCAAGGTCCATACTTCAGAAGCTTCTGGAGTGTTTTACTAATGTTCATCAGAACTTGTGTAACGCAGAAGCGGAACTAATTCTCTTCTAATGTCTTGGCCACACCATTCATCAGAAGTAGAACCTGTTTGTTAAATACTAAAAAATAACAAACATTAGAGTATCAAAATTGTTCATACAAACATACTCATTTGTTATCATCAAAACTTATAGATAATATTGCAGAACCAAATCTTGTTCTAACAATCTCCCCATTTTTTATGATGACAAAACTATGTATTTTGATGACACAATTTTATTCATATAATAAGAAAAGTGAAAATAAAAAGAGTAAGAACACTTATCCTTTTTATGAAACTCCCCCTGAGTCAACGAATTGATGAAGCTTGAATATCCTGACTCTGAATCATTTGAGTAAAACTCTCTCTGGTTCCAATAAATCAAATATTGAGATCTTGAGAGTCTTGACTCTAGATGCCAATATAACCAATTGAGATCTTAAATTCATTTGAGCTTGTTCTTATTGAATCTTCTATCCATATTTTTCAGATTGTTTTCAACTTTTGATTCGCTCAGTTCTTATGGAAAGCATCTACTTATGCTTTTGGTTCTTATGTTCTGAATATCAAATTCTCAGACATTTTACATCTTGTGAACATTATGATGCCAAAATTAAGATAACTTTAACTTTCAGAAAGGTCTTAACTTCTGAACAATATTGGGCTATCTGATTCTTGAACATATGTTCACAGAGTGTACATCTTCGATTATATGAACAATCATGAACAATCAGTTCTTAAGAACTTTAACAGAGTTCTTTCATTTTGACCTATCTTAGAATTCCTAATGAAATTGTTCAGAGTTCTTGGTTAATCATCAAACACACGTCTGTGGTAAATACACATTTTATATCATTTTATTATTATGATGAGTTTTGCATTTCTTTTAAGGTTTATCAAAATCATTATATTTCTCCACATTTTTGACATAATCAAATATTTAGAGAATAAGAACTAGTAAATCTATACATATTATCTGAATCATAGCAATGCGTTTGATATTACCAGCATCTAGAAAATCACGAAGGTTTCTATCTGATCAGAGTCATTTCTGACCGAAACATCTTATAACGACTGAGGCAAAAGAAATTAGAAGGCCTTTGATTGAGTCAGAATCTTATCACTTCATACTAAGACAAAAACATGTTTGATTCTAATGACATCATACTCTGGACAGAGATCCATTTTCATATTCTTTAGAATAAACAAAAATCTATCTTCACCCAAGGGTTTTGTATAAATATCAGCTCACTGATGGTCCGTATCTATGAATTTTAAAGATAAGATCCCTTTTTGAATATAGTCTCTAATAAAATGATGTTTTATTTATATG